GGACGCAGCGTGGAGCTAGGGAGAGGATGCGAGCAAAGAGAGGCACAATGTGGCTTGGTGGGCGGCAAAGACAAGTTTGAGTGACCTTCTTCAAGGAAAACAACACGAAAGGCAAATGCGTGTGCGTGTATCGACGCGTGTTGTGTATGTGTGTGCGTGTATATGGCTGGGTATATGGCGACATTCGGTCGTGTCTTAAGGCAGACTCGAAAAATAGCGCTGAATGCCAGACAGCAGCAACAACAAAGAGCAGAGGACCAACAAGAGAAGTGAGACACATGCCACATGCCACACCAAGTACGTTGGCCACACTTAAGTACAGTTACAAAATATTTTGCGTAACGCAGCAACAACAACAATGACGATGATGCGTGGCAGCATTTGAAGTTTAAATTTTTCCACATAGTTTTTCCTTTTCCACTCTCTTTCTTTCTTTTTTTACTTACAGTCAAACTGCAGGCAGGCACACACACTCGCACACACACACATACACTTTGTTACAATTGTAACATATTATTTAAATAATAGTTCATTGAAATATATTTTTTGTTGATATATATTTCACATTTAGTTATTGTTTGATTTAATATATTTGTACACAATCGTTTATTTGTTTTAACGCCGCGCTCCGATCGAATTGGCACGCGAAAAACTGAATGAAACCAAAGAAAACTCAAATGAAATATTAAACGAAATATTTTTGTGTATATTTTTCTTTTGTTAAACGAAAACGATGGCCAGGTTGATGATAATAATAACAAAAAGATGCGAGAAGGTTTTCCGAGATAGTTGTGCGCTTTTCCACATGCTGCGTTGTACTCAGCTGGAAAAGCGTCGACAACTTATTTTCTTCCCATTCTTGTATGCAATTTTTGCGTGCGAACCGTAAAGCTTTTGAGGCGCACAGAGCTTTTCATGTATAATTATTTCGACTAGCTAAAAAAACGAGGGGAAAATCAAAGCACAAGTATATGTGTTAAACAAATAAGAAAGCAAACTAATATTAAGTATAATAATTCATGAGCATTTCGATAAAATCGTTATAAATTATTAAGCATTGTTTATTCAATTCCACAATTTCCCGGTGCCAATTGACTTTCACTTACACAGGCATACGCACGCACACGTAGCCCAACTCCCACACATTAAAGCTCAGCTTCGATTATTTCACTTTCGTGTCTGTCTCTCTTACTCTTTGCTCTTTCGCTCGCACATATTTGCTCCATAAACCTGCTTTCGCGTCTGCATTAAATTTCCCATAATAATTCCCATTCCATGTTTACTAATTCCCTTGTTTGTTTGCACACTTGTTTGTTGTTGTTGCTATTGTTGCAGCTTCTGTTGCATGTCACTTGCGGGTGCACAGCTCGTACACGCGCACCCGACGCACAAGAGAGACAAAGAGACCGAGAGACGAGCGAGAGCGCCAAAGCTTTCGACTCTCTTTACAGGCATCCGCTTGGTCGCTGACGGCGAAGCCAAAAAGCTGCAACAAATGCCGCACGCGTTTTCATTTCGCTTTCTTTGTAGATTCTGCGCGCTCATTTTATGAATGAAAGCTTAGCGCCACAAAATGCACCAAAAAAGGAAATATTTCTTGGCTCATTGTGAATGAGTTCAATGATTGTTTTCGGGGATATGAACGACTAGGAAGCCACCCTGTATAGTAAATTCAAATTATTCTGAGGCATTAGCTAGGCTATTTGTTAATTTCCTTTATTATTATTCTACTTTGCCATTAAAATTATTTACGAAATCAAATTCGAACTAAAAGTCCTTAAATAAGTTCAAGGCTACTAAAATTACTATGCGAAAGCCATTAAGTAAATTAACTGCGCCCAACAACAATAGTTATTACTACTTCGAACTGACGTATGTGTAATGTGCTCATTACACTGTGCAGCAAGAAGTTTGGATTAAGTAAGATAGTGATAATCTATACATATACCTAAGTTTAGCCTTTTACCTGTTTATGATTACTTAATTTCTCTCAAGAAATTATATATATTAGAATTCTGTGCACCTGTTTTTGCTGTATAGTGTGCATACGAACATGGCGACAGGCTGGCTGCCTTTTAACTGCGTGTAGAGTTAGCGTCTAATTTTCTTGAAATTAGACTTCGCAGTTAACATAACAGCATTAAATATGTATAGCTAAGCGAAGGGAACGGGTTAGTAGAATAAGGAGTGGAAGAGGCAAGAGTAGAGTTTCGCTTGTTCCGGCGAGTGTTGTTCCACATTTTGTGTATATGTTTGTAGCTGTGTAATTACGCGCTGTAGTTGGCCCCTGGAGCTGAACTGGGTTGGGAAAAATTGTGATTAATGTAACATTTACACGCGCACGCATTACAAAAATATTTATAACTATATGTATGTACATATGCATACATAGAATGTACATATATAGGGTGCTGATTTAACAGCTCCGCCTCATTAGACGCGCTCATTGTGACAAATTGTGAAGGTACTTGGCAAAGTTCATTGCACTCTCAAGCAATAAGGCAGAAGAAAACAAACAACAATTCCACTTATAGTTTTTCACATCTTAATGAGCTAATATGGAGCATACATAATAAAACCCGAAAACAAAAACAGAAAACAAAACACAAAAGGCAGAACCAGAACACACAGAGCAGCTTTTTGACGAAAGCGAAAGCCGAACACGAGCGACAGTTGCGTCGTTCTCGCTCCCACCCATTAAACAAGTGGTTGCTGGAAGAGGTCAACGTTGAATTGATTACGAAATTTGACACACAAATATTCAAGATCTTGCGCTCTTCGCTACATCTCTCCCTCGCTCTCTCATTCTCTCTCAGCCGACAAGTGCTGGCAAGCATATGACTGTGCTTGCAATGGAAACAAACTAACTGCTCTTACTCACACACAGTGCACGCTCACATATGCAACGTTTTCTGTTTGAGCAGTGATATATGTATGTAAATCTTTGAATAATTATATAGAAGAACTAAATGTAAAATATGTAATAATGAGACTACGATTTTGAGCTATATATTTTTATTTTAAAAAAATGTTAATTGTTGAGCCACTATCGTGCTCATTATATATTGTAGCACGCAAGTTTTGCTGATGTCAGCGGGTTGATGACTAATGAATAACTCCAAGGAAAATAAATATCTCCTTATCAACTTATACAAAGTTTTTTAAAGGGTTCCATATTTGCTAATTTGGGAATAGATATTTCTTTATAACCGTACATTATAGTTGATTACATACTATGTATACAAACTATATCTATGATGACATGCGTCGCACATTCTGCTGTTCATTTTATTTGACTTTCTGATTAGGGTCACAAAGATTTATAGACAATATCGCATGTTGATAAGAGGAAAATAACCAAAATAAAATTGAAAAGATATTCACTAAAATTGGACGCAATCACAATTATTGGAATAAGCAATTGAAGCGTTTTAAGTCGTTTTCTAATTTTCTCTAATGCGGACTAAGCGCACGGCACACGAGGCGTGATTCATGTCGAAATAAAGCGTGAGCGCCAGCGTCTGATAACAATTTGCTTATTGGCATACTTCAAATTAACTACAGTACATACTCAGTAAGTGGTTCGGGAATTACCCAATTACCAGATACCAAATTTTTCCAGTCATCTAGCTTTATATTAACTTTGTTAAGCTGTAATGAAGCTGTACGAGGGTAATATTATCAAAGCATATTTTTGGTATAAGAATACATATACTGTACTATGTTCCGGGGCTTCTTCGTTCATTTGGGTTTTCCAGACTCACCCACAATTGTAAAAGTCTTATAAAGTAATCAAAGCTCTTAAAAATTTATAATATGGTTGTATACTTTATCTTAATTTAAGATATACATAGGAAGTTTATCTAAATTTGTAGAAATTATATAATGGTATGATATGTGTTAGTATGCTTATAAAAGATATTTTATTTTAATATACTAATATTTTAATATTACATATATATATGTATGTATATTTAATTATAAATTAATTCATATTTCAGTTTTCTTCGGTGAATAGCCAATAACAGTTATAACAGTTCAATAGCATAGCTGACCAGACGATAGGTTGGCTTTATCTATATTTTGCTGTAGTTATTATATCAGTTGCACAGGTGTGTTTATAAGGGGGGCTCAGTGTACTCACGCTGTTACACATATACGTTTTAATATATACATATCCATAATACTAAGCTAATATATAATTGTATCTACATATGCATATTCACTGATGTATATAGGTATTTGTTACTTACGGTAAATATGCTGCTTTTGTGCGCTCGATTGCGAATGACGAGGCCCGCCAAAGGCTTCTTCACATAGATTTTGGGCATCTCGTGAAATTTGCTAGATACGTGGCCCAGCAAATAACTGTTTGTTTTATATGCACTTCTGTGTAAGAATGTATGTGTGGCTGTCTGTGTTTAGGAATTGTGTTTTTGTTACAGTTGGGCTAATCGCAGCCGTTGCTAACAGCCGAGAAGGAGCCGAGGCGGGTTGTTTGGTTGATTTTTCTTGTTTTTGCTTTAATGGGTGTCACAACAACATTACACTTGTAGCTTCTATTTTGTGAAATACGTTTATACTTTAGAGTATTCTATTTGTTGAGCAACAACAAGGAGGCGCGCTGGTTGTCGATGTCGATGCCTGCGCTTGTTGGCAATTTAATTGGCGGCTGCATCATCCCACTGGATGAAACGTCTCAACATATAAATATTTCTTTATGTGTGCGCGTAAGAATTTGTAGCGACACACCGCTGACAACGCCTCTTCAAGGCGGCAGCACTTTTAATTAAAATTGTATAAATTAATTCGATTTTTACAGAAAATTTAATGCGTTCGTTTGCAAACACGGGCCGAAATGCGAGCACAGCGTCTTTGTTACCACTAAATAATGCCAAAACGCGTTTGGAGCTGCTTATTCTAGGATTGCCAGCAAGAACCCGTATCGATACTCAGTCGGACAGGCTATCGATAACTATTGAATATTCTTGTTTGTATCGTGTCGATAGGTGCTGAAGATCCAATATACAATCTTGAGTTGATTTTGTTTATTTTTAAATATAATGCAATTTGCTTGACATTTGGGTATGTTAAATAGTTGATGCTTATGTTGTTCATGTAATATTTATTATTATGTATGTTTGTTTACTTGTAGCAAGAAAATGGTGCGAGTATTGTTTCTTCATCCAGATTTGGGAATAGGAGGCGCCGAGCGTCTCGTTGTGGACGCCGCCCTAGCACTAAAGGAGCGCGGTCACGAGGTCAGCTTTCTGACTAATCATCATGACAGCACGCATTGCTTCAAGGAAACTGCCGATGGTAGCTTCCCCGTACAGATTGTCGGCGATTGGCTGCCACGCAAGCTCTTCGGACGATTCTATGCAATTTGTGCCTATGTACGGATGATCTATGCGGCGTTCTATGCCAGTTTCTTTATGCCTGAGCGTAAGCAGGTGGATGTGGTTGTCTGTGATTTGATTTCTGTGTGCGTGCCAATATTGAGACTGGCGCGCCATCGGCCTCGTGTGCTCTTCTATTGCCATTATCCGGATCAGTTGCTGAGTAGTCGAGAGGGTCTGCTGAAGCGTTTATATCGAACACCTTTAAATTGGCTGGAGGAGCAGACCATTGGCCAGGCTGATAAGGTATTAGTGAACTCCAAGTTCACATTGCGCGTCTTCCAGGACACATTCCGACGGCTTCAGGTCGTTCCCGATGTTCTTTATCCTTCATTGCATACCCAGTACTTCGATCAAATGATGCGAAAGCTGGAGCAGCGATCGGCATTGTTGGATGAGCCTGTGCATCCACGTGTGCCACGCAACTCCTTCATCTACCTGGACATCAATCGCTATGAACGCAAGAAGAATCATGCACTGGCTTTGCATTCCCTCAACCTGCTCCGGGATTTGCTACCCTTGCCAGATTTCAAGAGATGCCGTTTGATCATTGCCGGTGGCTATGATACGCGTTGCACAGAGAATGTGGAACACTTCGCAGAGCTGGAGCAGATCACAGCTGATTTGCACTTAGAAGAGCACGTGGTGCTGCTGCGCTCGCCCACAGATGAGGAGAAATGCAATTTGCTGTATTCCGCACATTGCCTGCTCTATACGCCGGAGAACGAGCACTTTGGCATTGTGCCACTGGAGGGCATGTATTTCTGCAAGCCGGTGGTCGCTCTGAACAGTGGTGGACCCACTGAAACGGTTGTGCACTCCTCCACTGGATTTCTGTGCGATAACCAGGATAAAAGCTTTGGCGGTGCCATGCATCAGCTGTTCAAAGATGAGGTTTTGCGTTTGAAGATGGGCGAACTGGGCCACAAGCGAGTGCAACAAAAGTTCTCCTTTGGAGCGTTTGCGGATCGTCTCAATGAGATTGTCCAGGAGTTGCTGGCAAACAAGAAAGATGAGTGAATAAATGTTTAAGAGCAGCAAATGAGGAGGAGTCTGATGGGACTGAACCGAAGTTAAGCTTAAATGCAGATATGTTGGAAATGGGGAAGGACATAGGGTGAAATGAGGAAGTCCTCATGCTTACGCTTATCTAGCTGCTCCATGCAGCTTTCTCTTAACGCCTCAGGGGATTCGCTAGGATTCACTATAACCCGACAGGGTAGATTCTTGGGTTTTGCTGTTGCAAATGCTTTGCTTTTATTTCATCTTTCAATTATATATATTTATATATGTTTGTATTTTATATAATTCATACAAATCCTAAAAATTGCTGCTTGGGGGAGATCATCTCAAATTCTGCCGCTGCTCTACTCATCGCGCATATACAAATACAGGTAGCCCAGATCCTTGGGTGGATTCTGTGATTTGGCCACCTTGGTGTCGTTGAAGATCACCCACTCGCCCTGTTTGCGTATGTGACAGACATAGTGTCCCACCTGGGCTGAGGTGCCCATGTGAGAGATGAACGCCACCAATTTATATTTTCCGGGGCCATCGCGATAAGAGCTCCCCGCTGCAGTTGCGGCGGCTGTGGTGCAAGCGGGTGCAGCCGCTGGCGCATCATCGATGCCGGCATCGGCATGCGAGAAGATCCAATCGGTGGCTCGCTCCACATTACCATCGGTGGCCTTGAGGGCGGCAGTCGCTTGGCGCTCACCAAAGCCCATGCTCATAAGCATGGCCAGTGACTCAGGATTGGCAACGAAGGCGGAGGCGGCGCCATCACCAATGCGATTATTTGGCACCTCGAATGGATCGGAGATATCCGCATCGGCAATGTGCTCCATTAGCCAATTGGACGCAGCCTCCAGTCCGATGTTCTGAGTATGGAAACAGGCGCGTTTGCATGCCTCCTGTGGGAAGCCCATGTTGACTAGCTCCGACATCACATTCTCATCGAAAACAAACGCCGGAGACGCTGCTGCTGCAGGTTCAGGCAGTAGTTCTTCTCCTGGCTGAGGACCACTGGAGCGCCAGACACTAAGATCCAGCTCATCCGGCATATCCACCGAGACATCAAGCTTTTTGGGCACCCAATCATCACCCAGCGTAAATTTGCCCAGATGAATCATCAAGAAATCCGGCATGGTGGCCATGCGCGTCGTCTTCTTGGCCGTCGTCTTGGCATTTATGGCCGTCGAATAAAACTGGTCGATGATCTCGTTGCCAAAGAAACGCTCCAGACATGCCTGCAGCGGAACCTTGTGCCGCACCAGCTCTCGATCCGGCAGACGTTGCCCGCTAGCTCGTGCTGCCTGCTCTCGCTCCAGATACTCGCGCACCTCATCCAGATTGGTGGCCTGCTCAAGGGGAATTGGCAGTCGGAAGCTGTACTCCTCACGGGTCTTATATTTGACCTTGTGACTGGCCATGCACTCGACACGATCCTCCAGCTGGAATTTGAGAGCATCCGCAGGATTGAATTGGTTGCGGGAATTGCGGTCGAGCAGTGTTAACAAATGCAAATAGAAATCATTGGCGTCCTGCTGCTGCTTGGTGCTAAACTCGGGATGATTCTTGCCCACAATATTCTTAAACATGGCCGGTGAGATGCCCGTCATGTGCTCCATGTCCAGCGTGTTACCCACCAAGCTACTGTACTTTCCCGAGAGCAATCCATTGCCCAGTTTGGCCATCTGTATATTGAAATCATTGGCCGGATCACTGGGAAAGTTCTTGAAGTACTGATCGGCGCCGCTGCCAACGAAACGTTTCTGGAAATCTGGTATGACAAAGAGCACCTGCATCACGCTGTTTATGTAGCAGGAGTTGCCCAGATTTCGCATGCCCGTATAGCCAGGTCCGGCCAGCGGTTGCAGCTCGCTCTCGCTCTCCGTCAGCGCTGACCATTCACCAATGCGCTGATTAATCTCTAGCTCCAGCTCGACCATGGATTTCTCACACTTCTGCATGGCCGCCATGTTGATGCCGAAGTGCTGTAAATGCTTGCTCAAGTACGGGTCCAAGACCATATCGTCCTCCGGGTAGGAGAATACATCCGATTTGCCGTCGGCCGAAATGGTGCCCAGCTTAACGGCCAGCGGATAGCCAGTCTCTCGATAATGCTCCACAGCGTGATCATTGCCTCCGCTGCCATCAAAGAACTTGCGTCCGCACAAGATGGAGCCGTCTGTTAGATTCAGCCACAGATTGTTGGTCAGATCGCATTTCTCGCACTGCCAGCCAGCTGGCGGTATCTTCTTTCCATTATCCAGCTGTTGAAGATTCTCTGCGTACTTCGAGGCCTGACGCACCTCACCATCCCATGTGCCTGGAAAGATAGTGGGACTAGCTTCAGTATATAAATGTCACAATCAGCACTAAATTCTATATGAGCTTTTTCTCGCCCTAGGGAGAGTGCTAAATTGCAAGAGAATAAAAGAGCAGCGGTCATCGTCCTCAATCTTATTGCACAGCCGCTTGAGCAATTGAGAATAAACAAACGCAGAGCGTATGTGGTGCAAGCGAATAAGAGTAATGACTGTCTCACTCAATCATAGTAGGGGCAAATATTTGCACCGATACAAGTATAAAGTTGTTGCTACAGATGTCTCCAGTCACTGTTTTAGTAGATGATGACTAATGCTTTCGCTTACCTGTGAGTGTGGCCTTCTCAAGCTTTGCTATGGCAGAATCTGCTTCAATGATTGCCTCCACCGCTTGGGTGACACGCATGGGCAGCTCGGGATCTGGATAGGGCAGCTTCTTATCCAGATGGGGGGCCACCACAATGCTGTACGTATCCTTAATCTCGTACTTCTTAGCCAAATCAGTCTCATTGTAACCGCCCTCGACGCCAATGGCAAGGCGCGTAATTTTTCGCTCCGGCCCGGCTTCCGCTTCGTCCAACTGCGCCTTCACATTGGACTCGCCAGCTTTCAGTTTCCGTTCGCGTTTAATGTGCAAGAACACAACATTTCCGGTTTTAGCGGCATATTCATTCACGTACGCCTCCCCGAAGCCGAGGAAGCTTTGCAGGCAGACGTAGAGGCCCGTCGGCGTCTCCGGATTGTCGTAGGAGAAGACGCATTCGTCTTTGTAAATTGGTGGATTTCCACACGGTACGTTTACCTTGGATAAATGTTTGCGTAGCTCTTCCATAACTTGCAAACAAAATTATGTTTTTATTTTTAACAAATTGTGAAATGAAAATCTATTGAATTTCTTTGCAGCTGCTGCTGCGACGCTTTTGCATTACTTGGCAGAATTCGAAGAGATGCCAGCCTGCTCAAAATACCACCCCGTCAAGGTACTCACTGATATATATACTCACTCTACTTTGCCGGCAGACAGCCAAAAGCTGACTGCTATGTGATTGAGCGAACAATTTGAAATGCCCGTTGGAAATTGAATATTCATAAATTGTGTTCATCTACATTTTCATTTATTACGCTTTTTGAAAATTTTAAATTCAGATTACATGCTTATGTTTGTTTTGGGTACATACAATTTGTATTTCGATAAATATATATATACTATAAATATATGTTGCTGTTTTGTTTGCAATTTGTTTTTGTTCTTGCTGATTTATTTTTTGTTTATATCGGCATTTTGTTTGCTTACTTGGCTAAAACACAGATTAACACGTTTATTTGATGCTCTTACTATAATCAATGCTTCAATACATCAAGTATATTTATTATACATAAAAATACGCACACCAAAAATTTTTACCACAATTATCTATCGAACTTCCCCATTTCCTCCTACTTTGGTAACAGTTTTACTTTTTATATTTTTATTTAAAGTACAACAATAAGTTTTAAGTAATAAGTTGCATAATTTATAATTCAATTATGTTACATAGAATTCATGTTAAGAGATGTATATATCAATATGTTATTTAATATTTATTTTTTTCAGTGTATTTTTTTTTTTTTTTTTGTGTACGGTGCAAAAGATGTAGAAAAAGATGTGGCCGTTAAATTTCTGGTTCAATGTGCGTTTCTCTTTAAGATTTAATCATTATCGTTCATCATCATTATCATTATTCATCATTAATGCCGGAGGTTCATGTAAAAAAATACATTTTCAAACGCTTTTCTCTGTCTTCAAAAACTTCTTCAATCGCTGACGTATTTAGCTATGCTAAATATTTATTGTTTAGATTTATGCTTGATATATGTATGTGTTTTCTTCATTTCTTTGCTGATCAGAATAGTTCACGGTGTATGTATGTGTGTGTGTTTTAAAAGATATATTATGAAAACTGATTATAAAATGAAATCGTTTAAACAACCGTTTAGTAACTTTCTCAAGTGCAAGTTTGTTTCTGCTTTTTTTTTTTTTATACATTTAATCAAATCCTGGTCCATTTTAATGTGTATATGACTTGACCAATATATGAGAGTATATATATTAACTGTCAAACCAACTTATCGCATACGCTTTTATTCTGTACACGCCCCTAGAAACGACTTATCTAACTAAGAAAACATAACGCACACCGAAGACAGATATTATATAGAGTCTGTCAAGTTTTCCATTTAAAAAAATTTTTTAAATATTAGAAACAAAAACTAAATTTTGTTACCTCTCTATAAATATATATAATATACATTATATATAATAAACATTGGGGCTGACAGTTGTGAATGTGTATGGGTTGGTTAATAAGAATGATGTTTGAAACATAATAAAATCATATTGAGTGAATACAAAAAAATAAAACCAAATTTCTTTTCATATCTGAGTAGATTTAATGCTTATTTACTTTTATTACATAATTAAATTAAAAACTGAAAATGTCTATTCCGTTTGATTTCTTTTCTTTTGATTTACTTTTAAAGCTTAAATATTTTATATATATTAAAAATATACGTATATATGTATAAAGTACAAATACGTGTATGTTTTTTGCATATAAACATAATCTAAAGCAAACTTAAATTAATTTCAAAATGTTTCTTGCACTGTTTTGTTTCGTTTTGTTATGTTTAAAGATAATTACAGAAATCACCTCGATTAGGTTAAATTAATTAA